AGTTCTATAGTTGAAAAGTACAATAAGTGAAAATAAAAGTTCACTTGCTAGGACTCAACAGTAGATTTGAATGGACAGAAATAAGAACAAGCAAACTTGAAAATAGATTGATAAAGACTGCACATCCTTTTAAGAGCAGAGAGGAAAAAATTTGAAGAAAAATGAATAAAGCCTCAGCAAAACATAGAACACCTTAAGTGCACCAACCCAACATGTACATAATAGTATTATCAGGAAAAGAGATAGAAAAAGAAGCAGAAAAAATATTTGAAGAGATAATGACTAAGTACTTCCCAAATTTGCTGAAAAGTATTAGTCTTTCCATCCAAGAAGCTGAATGAATTCCAAGAAAGGATAAATGGAAAGCCATCTATAACCAGACACATCATTGTAAATATGCTGAAAGATAAAGACAAAGAGAAAATCTTGAAAGAAGTAAGAGAAAAATGAACTCCCGTAAGATTACAGCTCATGAGACACAATGGAGGCCAGAAAACAGTGGGATGACATGATCAAATTAATCTAATGAAAAAAACTGTCAAACCTGTCATTTTTTCAAAAATGCAGGTGAAATAGACATTCTCCAGTAAATAAAAACTGAGAGAATTTGTTACTAGCCGAGCCACTTTACAAGAAAACTAAGTTTTTTAAGCTGAAAGAAAGTGATAAGTGATAAGTCTCAGTTGGTAAGTTGAACCTACACAAAAAACTCAAAGAGCACTGTTAAGGTAATTATGTAATTATAAAAGACAATGTAAATGCATATTCATATTTCTTTTCTTAACCAATTTTTAGAGACATTTATAAAACAACATGTATATTAGTTGAGGGGTTTATAATGTATAGAAATGAAATATATTTATCAGTAATAGCAAAAAGCAGGTGAGTTGGAACAAAGTTGTATTTGAGTAGGCAGATGATTCCAGATGATAGCCTGGATCCATTGGAACAAATGAAAGGAACCAGAAATGGCAAAATCAGAAGGTCATAAATAAATGCTTGCTCTTCTTCTCAGATTTTATAAAAAACATAAAATTATATAAAGTGACAATTATGTTTTGTTGGTTTTATAATATATACAGACGTAATATGTATGCCAAAACCAGCACATAGAGGGAACAGAGCTATTAAACAGTAACATTTCTGGCCAGTCACAGTGGCTAATGCCAATAATCCCAGCACTTTGGGAGGCCAGGGCAGGAGGATCATTTGAGGCCAGGAGTTCGAGATCGGCCTGGGCAACAGAGTACAAGTAAGTAAATAAATAAATAAACCTTAAAAAGGTAATATTTCTACATCTTACTGAAATTAAGATAGTATACATCTAAAGTAAATTATGATAAGATATATATGGTAAATCCTAGAGTAATATTTTCAAAAAATATGGTGAAAGATTCATTAAAGGAATTAAAATGCTATACTAGAAAATAGTCACTTAATACCAAACAAAGCAGTAAAGGACTAGAGGAACAAAAATGATATGAAACCTTAAAAAAACTAACAACTTTATCCATAATATTTAATGTGAATGGATTAAAAATTCTATCAGAAGACGTATATTGTGAGACAGTGATTTTTAAAAATCAAGATCCAACTAGATGCTGTCTATAGGAGACACATTTTAGATTTAAAGATGTAAATAGGTTGAAAGTAAACGAATGGAAGAAGATCATGCAAACAGCAACCATACTGGAAGAAAATATTTACAATACCTACTTTTGATAAAAGATTCTTATCTAAAATACATAAAGAATTCCTACAACTGCATAACAAAAAGATAAGCAGCCCAACATAAAAAAATTAGCCAAAGATTTGAACAGGAACATCACAAAGAAAGATCTATGATTAGCCAATAAACACATGAAAAGATTCTGACTATCAGTAGTCATCAGGGAAATTTAAATTACAATTACAATAAGATTCTACTATAAAAGAAAGGCTAAGATTTTAAGAGGCTGATAATGCCTACTCTTGTTGGGGACATTAAGCAACCAGAGCTCCCATAAGTTGTTGCGGAGAACGCAAAATATACAGCCCTTGTCATACGCAAAATATACAGCCCTTGTCATACCACAGTGGAAAGATTATGGAAATGTTCGATGACAAAACAAACAAAATAAAAGACTTTTACACATAGTTACTTATTACAGCATTATTTAGTATGGCAAAAACTGAAAAACCTAATACTTCACAATAGAGGAGTATTAAGTAAAAAGTATGGTATATCTTTATAATGATTTAACAAAATTTTAATGAGATGTAGGAATTGTTTATGAAATAACATTGTATAGAAAAACCCAATTATAAAAATTGCTTTATTGGGTTAAAAATAATCATGGAAGGAAGAAAATAAGCCAAAATTTTGATAAAATTATGTGGTTTTATAGTTTTCTTATCTCTTCTGTCACTTTTCTATATCTTCCAAGTTTTCCACAGGAACAAAGCACTACTTCTATAGTCAGGGAAAAAAAGTTTATTGTAAAACAATTATTACTTTGAATAATTACCTAGGACTGAATGAAGATGACTATAAAAATATCTAGTTTAGGGTTTGTACACATTGTAAATAGACATATGGAAATGACTTTATTTTAATGATTAGTCCACATTCAGTCCAGCAGGAGAGTAGATGAAGTCAGAGGGAACAAGAGAAAACAACAGATTCAATAAACAGTACAGAAATAGAAAATATGGTATTTTCCAGATAAATGAGGTTTAGCTCTTTTAACATCAACTTTTCTATTTTAAAATTTTGATGAAACTTTTTCTAACATATGCATCATAATTTCTTGCCTACTAAATACATTATAGTGACCGACTCCTAGCTCTCCTACGGCTGCGCTGTATAACCTTGAGGAATGGATGTATTAGCCTCTCTGCTTCCATTTTCTTTTGGGGGTAATAATATAACCTCTCTCATAGTATTGTAGATGTGAAAAGGATAATTTGTATAAAACATTTAGCAGAGTATTAAGTACAAAATAATAGATACTAGTTGTTATTACTATTACTACAAAGAAAATATGGCATAGTAGGCATTCAATAAATTTGATTGACTAACTCAATTTATAGTGAGGTCCTCAAAGTCTTTCGAGATTTGTATAACACCTCCTTCTATTAAGCGGTCCCAGATCACTCACTGGTCATTACAGTTCCTGTTTCTACCTATTCTTTGATTGCTATTCCAAGTTACTTTTCTTACTGTTTCTAGTTGTAGTAGTCTTCTCCCTTTTAACCTGCTGCTTTTAATTTGCTGCCAGATAACAAAGCCTGTTTAAGTCAGTAAACTTTCAAGGAGTGCCTAGGGTAGTTTTATAGCAACCCTATAGATTATCATTCATTGCTTATTTAATCATAAACTTTTCCTTATCTAATTTGTATCTCTAAGGTTAAGACTGTGTTCAAGATAGTTTAGTTTAATGAATGTCTCCTTCTAGATTAGTAGTAATATTTATATTAGTAAATACTGTAAGTGTATTATGATTATAAATAGAAATTCAAAGATTGGATGAGCGTTAAATTAAAAGTTTTGAAATGTTCAATGAAGTAAGAAATAGAGCAAACAATAAGTCTTGTAGTTTACACTTAAAACTCTGTGAGCAGCCGGGCTCTGTGGCTCAGCCTGTAATCCCGCGCCTTTGGGAGGATGAGGTGAGTGGATTGCCTGAGCCCGC